CCCGCCCTCCGGCCCACCACACGATCAGCGCTGGAGACATCGGCCCAAGGTGCAGCACGTTTGCTGACCCCTGGCTAAGAGTCTCAAGGCAGCATGCCCCCTACCATTTTAATCTCACAAAAATCCTGTAAAGGGACCCTGTGTCTACAAGACCCCATGTCTGTACAGATATAAATCCTATTGAATTCAGTGGGGCTTATTCTCAGGTATGCAGGGTTAGAATAGCAACCTACAATATTCTTCAGATATCTGAGGACACTTTTGTCACGCTACACTTTCCTATTATGTCAGAAACAGTTATTTCTGTGAGCCACAAATGTTTCCCACCACCAGGATAACTTGGGGTGGGTTTAAAGAGGAGATGGTGCCCTCTCTAGTGATATGTATGTATCTACATCCAGAGAGACACACCAAGAATTCTGAAGCCCATGTAGGAAGGCATCTTTCATTTTTGCTTCCCCCCCCCCTCAATTCCTTTGAAGTAAACTGCATCAGGGTATTTGGCTGTCTGTCTCTTAATGTGGTTCCAGTTTCCATTTATTGAGAAGGGAAGGGATCAATATGTGTTTAGAAAGGACTGTTCACCAGTGGTGGCAATAAACTGCTAGAGAAGCAACACAGACAACATGTTGGTTCTGTTTGTGTATGTGTATGTTTTCTCTCTCTCTCTTCTGTTCAAAAAATTATATCAGTCTCTGTCCTTGAGGCTTGGTTCCAATACAAAGGAGATCCAAAGAGTGGGGTTGGAAAGCAGTTCTGTCTTTTGTTTTTTTTATTTTAAATATTCATATTCTGTTTTTATGCAGTACTGTGTTCAAGGAGTCTAGCTGAGACTTCAATCTGGGTTTTTATTTTTCTAATGTAAACACTTGAATGGGGGGAACAAAGTAAAGTAGCTAAATCCCCATAAGCAGCAGTCACAGCAAATAAATCTGTAAAAAGCAGCAAAAGGATGCTTTATTTGTTGGAAATTAAAAGCTCCTAACCCCCCCCCAAAAAAAAAACCTGCAAGAAACCTGGCACCAAAGTTAGCAAAAACTGAATGCCAAGTGAATTTGATTAGAGGTCTGGGAGCCACCACCAAGAACTCCATATCTCTGATAATCATACACAACACAAATTGAATCAACAACAACAAAACCAACCTCAAAAGACATGGACATCCATACCAGGACCCTGAATGAGAGCTTTCTGTGTTTTTAGATATCCCACCCCATATACCTTTAAAACTTTCCCTCTTTTTTCTGGTGTCATCTGCTTTTTCAGGAAATGCTAAAACATGTTCCCAAAGAGCAGATAATTCAGCCACTTGAGTATGATCCAAAACATTGAAGATCCAACAACCCGCACCACAACTGCACAATTTTGAAGCATAGATTCTCCCTGTTTAACAGGTTACAAGCACAAGTATTCAGATATTAAGTAAGTGCCTCCTTTCAAAAGGAGAAAGTTTGTTTACAGTATATTTACATGCCCATAACTCAGTGGTAAAACACATGTGCAGGGGACAGATGGAGTACACATGCACATTCAACTGCCTAACAATGTCTGTGCCACCCCCCCCCCCCATGCAGCCCTGGGAACTGGCAACCCAAGCTATGCCACTGGCTGTCCCTGGTCATTTTTAGGCATCTTCTAAGAACTGCATTATTCAGACAGGGCTTTGAAACCTGAGATTCTTTGCTAAGCACCTCTTACCAAAGTGGTTTAATATATTTTATTGCAATGCTGTGGTTTTAGTCTGCATATCATCCTGTGATACTGAAATAAAATAAAATGGCCTCCCAGTCATTCTGACTGAGGATGCCTGGGATTAAACCTGGTGCCTTCCACATGATGAGCATGTGCTCTACCACTGAGCTATGGTCCCATCTGAGGCCATCCAGATGTTGCTGAATTACAACTACCATCGGCCCTAGCATAAGGTTACCAGATTTTTTTCCAGTGAATCTGGGGACACTTTTCAACTTCCTACTAAATAGATGGATTTTGTCAGGGGACTGATTTGTAAATCTGCAGACTGTCCCTGGGAAATGGGGACATCTGGTAACCTTATCCTAGCAGGTATGGCCAATGTACAGGGAAGAAGGGAGTTGTAGTTCAGCAAAATCTGCGGGCCCAAAGGTTCCCCACACCTTCCATAAAAGAACATGCAGGAAAGAGAGGAGGTATGGAAAGGAGCAACATAATTTACCGAAATACATGCAAAGAATAACCAGTCAAAAATTTGGGTGACAGGTCTCTCTTTCAAGGTTTCTAGAATTGTGTTCCAATTTCTTTAAATGTTTCATTTAAAGTAAAATAGTTTTGAGAGACAGGGGGAAAGTGGATTAGCTTTGGATGGTTTCAAACAAACTCCTCTCTAAAGTCCTATTTCTAAAACTAGGTGCTGCTTTCCAGGCTCAATTTTACAGCGGCGTGGGGGAAGAGAAATGAATTTGTTCACACAGATTTGAAAACTAAATAAAGTAAAACATAAGACCAGGAATTACACATCTAATTATAAGGGATAAGTAAAATAATGATTCCTTCAAATCCCATTACATCAGGAGACCAGGGTTAAAACCTCTTGCAAGTCACAAGTGAAAATTAATTTAGGCCAGGCCGAAAGTAATCTGTGCTTGACATTTGCTTGTCTTGCAATACTGTGTGAGTGACACCTTCTCTCCATGAGCAGTTCAGGATGTTAAGCATAATGGTGGTATGTCTGTCTACACACACACTCAGCGTCCTCCTGCCCATAAGTAGGCTTACGGGCAGGGTGGATAGCATCTTCACCACCACTCTTAGCATGTGACCAGGACGCCACTTTTTACATCCCTACAATGGCCTGGCAAAGCATCACTCCAGGGCTATTGTGCTAATCCAGGGATAGCCGACATGGTACCCTCTAGGTATCATTGGATTCCAACTCTCATCAACCCCAGCCTATCTGGCTCAGGGATGGTGGAAGCTGTAATCTAGCAGCGTCTGGAGTGTGCCATGTTGGATTGAAAAATAGTAATTTTAGGCTGCTGTTGTTTAGTCGTGTCTGACTCTTCGTGACCCCATGGACCAGAGCACGCCAGGCACTCCTGTTTTCCACTCCCTCCCACAGTTTGGTCAAACTCATGCTGGTAGCTTCGAGAACACTGTCCAACCATCTCATCCTCTGTAGTTTTAGGTAATTTTAGGCTAGCTGAGAGTAAAGCTTGCTGTTCTCAATTGTGAGTCCCAGGGACAAAGCTGAGATGTGGCAACCATACAAGTGTGTGTTTGGGTGCATGTGTGTGCATGAATGCCAGGACACTAGGGACAGGCATATATGCCCTACATTTTTTTAGGTGTATATACACTAATATATTTTTTTCTTTTTTAAGAACAAAAAATCAATGCAACAAACATAGGATTGAATATACATAGTGTTGGATTCAAAGGTTCCTTTCTTCTAACAGATGGAGTCCACCCAGCAGCCAAAGACTTCCATTTGCAATGTCTGAAATAAATAAGCATCAGCATTTTATCTTTCAAATCTTAAGTTCTCCATATTTCCACCACATTTTGTGATTTATTTAGTTTTTATATATAAAAAACAACCATGAAAATTCAACAGAATTTAATGACAATGTCTCCTAAAATATACATTTGTATGCAATTTTGTTTGCAATTTTCCCTAATAAATAGTTTTTCCCTCCAAAGCTATTTCCCCTATCATAATGCAATTTTGTGTGTGATTTTCACCGATATATGAATTTATATGCACACTTCACTCTGGTATATGCAATTTTGTATACATTGCTTGTACTGCAAAATTCAGAGAAGGGTGAATTTCAAAAGTTGGCTTTGTGTAAATGTGGTAGATTCACCTTTAATTTGAACTACATGTAATTTCTTCCCCATTCCTAATGTACACAGGCATGTGAAATGCTGTGCAGCCCTCAGTATGTGGTTTATATGCTGCACTTGTCTTGGAGGTCACAAATTGTACACAGGCTTGCAGTAACTGTAAATGGAGACCATGCTGGTCTTCTCCCATGGAGTGGTCCTCTGAACATGGCTGAGACCTGGTTTCTTTAAATTTAGTAGCATTGTGGCTCATTTAATCTCAGGGAGTCTCACTCTACAAGGTGATCATTATTCAGAACTGCCAATTAACCTACTTAAAGGTCACCCAGGTAATTGACACTAATCATGTCAAATCTCATTATTGGAATAATAATTTAATCATCCAGTCTATCGACAGAAGACCAGTGACTCTGAAGAGCTAATTGAACAGCAAAAGAAAACCAACATCTTAGCAAGGATAGCACTTAAAACCGAAACCAATCAGAACCTTCCTGTTCCAAGCTATATACAACTGAGAGAAGTTCAACATTTTTAAAGCAGCTAAATACCCAAATTAGGATATGCCCAGTGGAACTTTTATTCCCAGGATTTCTTGCTTTACCATTCCACACTCATACACACCTGTGTAAAGTCTGCAAAAGATATCTGGGCATGCAAAGTTATTAAGGTGAATTAAAAAATTGCAATTGAAAACAGCATATAGCAGAGATGAGGAATCTCTGGCATTGGGGCCCAATGCAGCCCTCCAGTCCTCTCTGTGACCCTTGAGGTTCTGCCCATGATACAACCACCAGCCCAAGCTGCACCCTGGTCAGACCTGCTTTGCACCCTAGAATATAACTAAAAACATTGCTCTGCCCACTTTTGTCACTGGCCCCAGTCACCAGTGCCATGTGACCCCAGGAAGGTGGCTCTGGTGGCTCCTGAGCTTAAAAAAAAGTCCATCACCCATGACATATAGGTTGTAGCTGTAGACTTGGGCAAATCTGTTTACTACCGTATTTTTTGCTCCATAACCCTCACTTTTTTCCTCCTAGAAAGTAAGGGGAAATGTCTCTGCGTGTTATGGAGGGAATGCCTACGGGTGGTGGTGGGATCTGCTGCAGTCATGAGCAGAGGATCCATGGTTCCCCTTCCTTCCCTCCTCCGTGGCTCGCTTTGAAACAGCAAAGCGGGAGAAGAGTTGCTGAGTGGGGAGGAGAGAGGGACAGAAAGCCTGCTTGCTTTAAAGGAGAGTCCAGTTGGCTCCTTTAAAGCAAGCAGGCTCTCTGTCCCTCTCTCCTCCCCACTCAGCTCACTACATAGCAGCAAAGTTTTTCAGCTCGCTAAGCCGGGGAGGTGGGAGAGAAGCAGAGCCTGCTTTCTTTTAAAGGAGCAAAGCAGGAGAGGAGAGGAGCCTTCTCCTCTTATACCCCTCTTCTACATTATTAGCAGCATCCTTTCTCCACACACCCCACGAGTGCTCCTTGTCCCTTGAGTGCTTTTCCTTCCCTCCCCACTTAAAACGTGGTTACAAAGCACGGATCCACATGGATCCTCAGGAGTTTTGCACTGGGTCACCCCAAATTCACCATCAGGTCACATAGCATATCCATGGCTACAGCTTGCACCAAAAAAATCACGCACCCACTGTTGCCTGGGGCCTCAGTGGTGCAAAAATGTGGTTACAAAGCATGGATCCACATGGATCCTCAGGATTTTTGCATTGGGCTACCCCAAACTCACCGTCAGATCACATGTCTGTGGCCACAGCATGAACCACAAAAATCATACATCCACTGTTTCGTTTAGAATATTTTTTTTTCTTGTTTTCCTCCTCTAAAAACTATGTTGGGCACTGCTTCTGACCACCTCCCTCTTTTGTGCACTGATCTTCCTGTGGGCCAACTCTTCATTCTATGAGCTGGGTGGTGGCAGAAACAATAAATGCCCAAACTGGCTGAGGAAAGGGAATGTGGCCAGTAGCAACACAGGACAGCCTAGATCCTGGAGGCAGAGAAGTCCAGGGTTGGTAGGCTGAGGAGCCAGCAGAGATTAGGGCTGCTGCAGCCTGTTCCTCTGTGGCTCACCTCAGCCACCCATTCACCTCTTTCCCTCATGCTGTATTTCGCAGCATCAACAATCTGTGACCAAGCAAGCTGCAGCATGATGAAAGCCTTCAGAAAACGCACACACACACACACCTGGAGTTCACCCAAGCCTGCAGATACAAGTCTTTGTGTCATTTGGACTAGTGTACATAAAACCCCAAATGAATTACTAATAGTATATGCAAGTAATTACTGTTAAAATACTAAAGTAAGGGATTAATGAGTCAGTTTTGGCTGATGACATAGAAGTAATTTTCCATACCCACTCAACACACTCCCCCCCCATTTTGTTTTAAAAACTTTTTATACCTTTGTTCATTGGGGCATTTATACATCCCACTAAAACAAGTAATTTGAAACAATATATATCTAGATAAAGTGTGGCATGACAAATGACAACACTGGGTGTAAATTTCTCCACCCTTGCTATGTGATCAAATTTTGTGAATGGAAGAGAGACGAGAGACAAGGGTTGTAAAGCCTAAGGACTCCATGGAAGCCAGCTGGTCATCCTCTGAATCTATTATCGTGAGCCCTGTGTGCCTTCCTCCTTTTACAAGGACTGGCAAGACCAGGCGAGTTCTGCAAACCTATCATGTGTGGAAGTGACTGTGAAGTTGGCAGAGATTCAAGGGCCCCTGACTGCTACTTTCCATATATGGGCACAGGCAAAGCATGTTTTCATGTATCCAAAGAGGCAGGAATCCAAGCGCAGTGGGAAAGCTAGCCAGCTATTTATACCCATGAATCGAGTGTAGGTGAACGATGAGAGCTTGGAACTTGCAGTTGGCTAGATCTGAAAGCCCCTTAACTGCAGCGCCTCAGGCTATTATTTCCTTCCGTTCCCAAACAAGATGTAAGCATCTTAGAAAATCAAATTCTCATTTAGCCCGAGAGTCATGCATAATGTTGCAACTACTGAGTTGTGATGTAAGTAATTTTTTTTAAAAAAAATCACAGTGCATTGTACACCAGTGCTTATTGAAACTGGTGCATAATGCATAAGAAGACACTGTTGAATCTGTTAACATTTGCATTTAATCTATAAGAGCATTAGAACTACCATGATAGATTAGCCCAGAAAGTCCATCCAGTCTGGTATACTGTTTCCAACAACTAATGCTTTGGGGACATTTAGAAGCACATGAAAGGAAAACCCTTCCCTCATTGTTTGTCCCATCAACTAGGACTCAAAAAGCATACTGCTCCTGAACTTCAGTTTCCATTTAGATAGCCATAGGTATGGTGTATTGTCCTCCATTAATTTGAAGATTGTTTACATATTTTTGCTAACAAATCAGTCTGCTGTAAACTAACAATTTACAAAGATTAAGATATGGTATTAAAATGGGGGAGGGAGAAAGAGACAAAAGGAAAGGTGAATGCAAGGCACAGTTCTGTTTGTTTTATAGTCCAAGAACAATTCAATTTACTTTCTTAGCAAAATCTAATTAGCTTCTCCAGGTCATTGAAATGCTACAGAGGCTGTCCTTTGCTACGAAAGGATAGGCTTGTGATTCAAGGTGATTTTGATTGAAAATAAAACTTACAAAGCTAACCAGTGCTTTTCTTTTTGGTACAAGCTCTATGCTCAACTCACAAATCAGATTCTTGGGGAAATTGGCAATGAATTTCATTCTAAAAAGTTTCCTGTGCTAGACAAACAATCTGGTGCATGTGAAACTACTCCTTTCATCTTCTTATCTTACTCAGTGCATCAGTAATTCGATATGGCAATAATTTCTGAACATTCTGCCTTCTGGAAATCCTAGTCTACTTTCGTGCTGTGCCAAAATCTATCCTCTGATTTCTCAAAAGTTTTCTTTAACTGCTATAAAATAGGTTTCCATTTCTCTGCCTCATTTTCAGCGCACTTTAAAATTTCTTCAGAATTTTTGTAGGCACCAACTTTTGAGCTTTTCTCACCAGTACAAGGTAGTCAAGGTGTGTGGGTGTGCATGTGGGTGTGTATGTGGGTGTGCACGTGCGCACACACACATCACACATTTTTCTCACCAAAAAACATTTCTCCAGCATCTGTTAGCCTTCTTGGCTGCCTACACTTCGTAAACGGAAAATGTCCTATGTGTTTTCTTTTCCCATTAATTGATAGAGAATAAATGGGAGCAGGGAACTGAAATAAACCTTTAGCATAATGCTGTCAGTTACAGAACCCCTGAGTGTAGTACAAGCTTCTAAGGAGTTTCTAAGGCAGGGGTAGAAAGCCTTTGGGGATATGGCATCAGGTCTAGAAGCTGCACAGAAAACTGGGGATAAAGCTATAGTGGGAGAATAGTAGCTGGGGGCAGATGGGAGTCTTTCTGATCCCTACCTGGAAACTCCTGAATTGTCCACATGCAAAGAGTGTGCTATATTACTGAACAATAGCTTTATTTCCATTTATTTTACCCATTACTCAAGCAACTGATATAAAATCCCTTATAGCACACGTGGTATGAATTTGTTCAAGACATGTCCACCATTTGCAATTGTATGGAAGTCACCATCTCTTAATGATTTTGTCATCATGTCCATCCTCTAATGCCTTCAAAAAGCTGACATTCTGATCTGCCGTCCATAAAAAGCAATCTTGTCTAGCATGGCCAATGGTCAGCAGGGATGAGGAAGAAATTTGATATGGTTCACATTTAAAGTGGACTTACCTAATTCTCACTTTCCAAAATGATACATGAACCAAAATACAGCCATCTTTTTCAATTCACACATCACTTAATTTTTTAATACAAGACATGTACACAGAAATACATATACTAGTTCAAAGTGCATAGTGCAAAGTGCATAGCACACATATTAGCTAGTTTGCAAAAAAAATTATATAGAGGAAATTTTTGCATCCCAAGGCAGGTGAATTTCATTCAATGAAATGAGAAATTGAGAGAAAGCAAACTTGATAGATTTGCCCTTCTCTAAGGGTTACAAATTATGGGAGATGCAGTCCAACAACATTTGGGAAGCTAACTCTATATAACTGACTATCTACCATTGACTTCCATGGGGGAATGCCTCTAAAATATACAGAATTCCCCCCTTAGCACTACCACCCCATCTCCACCCTCCTCAGTTATGATGATAGCATCACACCCTTAACAATCCCAGAAAGAGAAGCGAAACTAACTACATCAAGGCAATGAGATATTTTCAATGGATTGCCTGTGCTCAGTGATAGTATTGCCCCTCTTTTGAACAGTCTTTGATGCATTCCAATTTGCTTTAAAAAGCGACAGCAACCCACTAAGTCTGCTTGCCTATTGTCTCTGCACATCAAAAGGACTTTGGGAGCCTGTGAGAAATGAGAAACGAAATATACTGCCACCTTGACGGAAGTCTGGGGAACTTACAGTCATTCACGTCTCCTTTGGCAAAGGTTGAAGCTAGCTCTCACCCACACTAAGCTCAGACATTCAGGTTCCAAAATATCCTCCTGGTGCAGATTCATTGTGCTTCAGCCTAGATTGTCTCTTGGTGTAACAACAAAGCCTTACATAAAATCAGATGGGAATGTACTCTTCTCCTCTGCTCCCCCCACCCCTTTAGGGCTATATCTTCTGAAATTCTATTATGCACAGAATTTTTGCTCTCACTGGTAGGAGCAGGGCAGGAGTGTTGATGGTGGTTCATTAAATTCAGGTCAGGTTACCTGGGATGTTTGGGTTTTTTTGTCTCTTAAACGCCTACCTGTTACTATTTTTTGTCTGCCAGAGAGTTCCCTGCCAGAGGTTGTCTTGAAAAGTCGACACAGTGTGCCCTTACAGTGCCAAGCACAATAAATCATAACCTGCCTTCTGTGCTGGGAGCTGAATCCAGATAGTAGGGCTGGGCTGGCCTTGTGAAGGTTTTGGAAATGCACAAACAAATTAATTCTTCAGAGTTGCATCAAGACCTCTTGGTCAGGAAAGACTGTATTTTTCTGATGCACTTGTCCCTTGAAGCCAAAGTGGAAATGTCTGTCCGTGTGCATGTGCATGCTATGTAGCATAGATAGGAATCTGGATCTAGCTGATGGGCATGATCCTTATCTCCCTCCAAGCCCCATGGGCCAAGTTTGACCCACCTGTCAACCAACTAATGTCAGGTGGCCTGTTTTTGCCCACACAATATGAAATAAAACTGTGCTGGCAAAGGCAATGTAGTCTCAGCAGCCACCAGATGATCCTCAGTGCTTGAAAAGCCAAATGTGCAGCATTTGCACTTG